TTATGAACTCTTCCCACAGCTTCTTAATTTATTAGATATTTTACTTTTATGTTTTTGATAATTTAAGATTTTTTATGGTGTAAATATATAAAACAGCGTACATTTGGACAGGTCCTACTGTTTGGTAAATCCATGTATGTATGAAATATTAAAGAAAAGGAAAGTGATTAATATGGCAGCTCTGATATTGGACTTATAAGACTTGGAAATAGTCTTTTCAGAAGAAAAATGTATAGAGATAATGAATTTGAAGAAAAGATACCAGGAGAATGAAATAAGGGAACAACAGGAATAATAAAGGGAGTGAAGATGAATAAGCATGTGGCTATAATAAATACTAGTTTTTAATGGCAGTGGAAATCAGAAGAGGAAGTGAATGATGTTTTATAAGTATTATGGAAGGTGATTACTTCTGTCCTAATCATGGGTCATTATTAGTGAGGAAAAAGATTGAGCCAAGAGAAGTTAATTGTCTTACTCAAGGTTATAGTGACATTTGGGCTCATTTTGAGTCCCCTGAGGACAGTAAGGGGAAAAATAAGTAGACAGTGGGATTTCATTTATTGGATTTCATTTATTGGGTTGGCCAAAAAGTTCGTTCAGGTTTTTCTGTAAGATGTTAAAACCCGAATGAACTTTTTGGCCAACCCAATAGAAAGGTTGACTGCATACAAATAAAGAAGCTCTAATAATAATGTAGAATAAACAACAGGATTTGTGACACTCATATCTGATTTGGCTAAAATTAATGAAGATTGATGGGAAAAAAACCACTAAAGTTAATTATGGAAATAAACAACTCAACTATACATTATATTGCTAACATACCACATAGATGAAAAACATTAATCCATGCAACTTGAACACAGAACTCTGACTGTAGACCCTCAGAGGGCTATACTGTGAGGATTAAAAGAACTATAAAGAAATCTTGAATTTAATTTTTGTTGGCAGTGGTATTGGTGTAGTAGCAGTTTGGGTAAAAATTTGTGTATATTTTAGGATTGAGCAAATGAGTAATATGTTGATATTGTTGGGTCCATGGTATGGTTAAGGGAGATACAGTATATAAAGGGGAAGGAAAGGAAGAACTCTGTTGTGGAACTGGAATTGGGAGTGTTGGTATAAACTGATGATTTTTTAAAAAGAACCTTTCCTAACTGCCAATGAAACAGCCCAGAAACAAATGACACCCAAATAATAAGAAGCACAATCACATTCAGTTCTTGGTTTGTAAATACTATTCTCCACTAAAGCTCCCTGGAGAAATGGCTGCTTCCAGCACTGGGGCAGGGAAACTACAGAGTGAGCTTGGAATCTCTTGTGTTAGAAAATACGGAAGTACTCAAAACCTGATGGGTGCCGGTTATAAGGACAAGGAGTCTGCTTGAAGGGATTTCCCCCTGGCTAAATTTGGGGAAATTTGAGCATCAAAATGAATAATGACAAGAATGGATTATAATACATTGAATTAAAAAAGAATACATGAATCCATACTGGTAATTTTCTTTTGAATTGGGGTAGGGAAAGTTCTTTTACAGAATAATGCCAACTACTAAATGTAGAAGGAACAAGAAACATCAGTGGAGGAAAATTGGGTGAAAGGTTGTTAGGGAACTGGATATTAATACCACAGACTCAAAAACTTTACTCCATAGATGATTTATTTGTTACTAAAGGAAAAAAGTATCTTTACAAGGGAGAAATCATCTTAATCAAGTGATCAAATTTAACATCTCCAGTATTGTGACCAATTAGTATGTGCTTCTTTGGTGATACACTGAGAAGGATACAACATTCTTACACAGTGTTCCTGCCAACTTGGTTAGCTTGAATTTAATCATGGAAATGGACAAATCCAAATTTAAGGACAGTGTAAAAATAACTGATCTGGACTTTTCACGAATGTGAATGTTAAATTAAAAAATATGAACACACAAAGCAAATGTTGCAAACACCTTTAACAATCTAGGTTAAAGTTATATGTGTATTGTACTTGTGTTTCAGTTCCTTTGAAGGGATTGAAATCTTCAAGATGTTGGGAAAAACAAGAGAAAAAAACTGATTTGGCTTTCTAACTTTAATCTTTAAAAAAATGGGTATTACTAAGTACTGAATGATATTGTAAACTTTTAAAAAATAGACAAAAAAGTTATTGGTTTTTTTTTTTTTTAGTTATTGGGCTTTTACAGCAGTATATAACAGTAATGATTTTCAAAGTTACATGTAAAACAATTTATTTTAGAAAATCCATCCTCTCAATATTGGAAAGAAGTGGCGGAAAAACGGAGGAAGGCTCTCTATGAAGCACTTAAGGAAAATGAGAAAGTATGTACTGAATATAATTTGTGGAATTTTTAAACATTCCAGGATTATTTTCTTTCTGCTGCCCAGGATATTTTATTAGAGCAATATAAACTAGCTTTAATGTTGTCTTAATAAAAATTTAATTAGGCAACTCTGTTACCAGAACTATTATACAAAAAGAAGCCTATTGTGTTGAGAGCCAAAGACAACACCTTTGTTAGGAACTTTGTGCTAAATGTGTGTCAGCTATATACTTGGAGGCATATAATTTGGTTTATAGCGTAGCAAATCTATGAAAAACTGAACTTTTTGATTTATGTCACATAGCTTCATAAAGAAATTGAACAAAAGGACAATGAAATTGCCCGCCTGAAGAAGGAGAATAAGGAATTGGCAGAAGTAGCAGAACATGTACAGTATATGGCAGAGATAATAGAGGTAGGTATTTTAACATTCACCTGATTCAGAGGCATCTATTTTTCTATAAAGTTGAAGCAGTAGTGTGATCAGAAAGTGTTTGGGCTCTAGAAAGAGATTTCCCGGGTTTGAGTCCTAGCCCCCTACCTAGCACCATTAAGTTTGAGTCAAGCAGGTTATTTATCCTGTCAGGGCTCCATTTTCCTCATTTATAAAATGGGAGTAATAGTGCCTACCTTTATAGGCTTGCTATGAGAATAACAAGTAGAGAATAGGTAGAAAATTGAGAGAATTGCCTGTACATAGTGAGAGCTCAATAATTGTTAGATGCTATTATTATGAAGCAAAAGAACACCTATTTTCTTGTAACAATATAGAAAGGAATACTTACATCTGAAAAATATATGGAAAATTATATTTCACAGTTGTCAAATTTTCAGACAGGTTGTTTTTTTAAAATTTTTATTGGCGTATAGTTGATTAGAGCGTTGCGTTAGTTTCAGGTGTACAGCAAAGTGAATCAGATATATATGTATATATCTCCAGACAGTTTTTAATTTAACTATAATGCCAATGAGATATTACTGTCATTTATAAAACTGGTAATTGGTGTACGAAATAACTTCGGTCGTCTTATCTGACTTTTTTTTTTAATTTGGAAGTAGCTAATGTGTTTGTAAGAATTAGCCTGATGACTGTTACTTTACCAGTCTTAAAAAATAGGTCTTAAACTTATTCATGTCTGCAAAAAATTATCTTGCTGTTGGGGAGGACCTTTTTCATATCAAAACTTCTCTTGCACTGAATTTCTGCCGTACATTTTAGTGCCATGGCAGAACTCACATTTGAAGTTTTCATTTGGAAGTACTGTAGTGGCTCTCTTACCTGCCATGGAAGTATTGGTCCAAAGCAGATGGGAAATTAGGAAACCTGGTCCTTTACTGTAGATAGTTGGAGAAGTACTGATTTAAATTGTATTCTGAAAGCATGTGAGTACTTAAAAAAAAAAAAAAAAGCAAATTTTTAAATACTGTGACTTTGCAGAAATATGATCTAATATGCTTAGCACTTTGATCTAACAAACACTTGACTGCATGTAAGTGAATTTAATATAGAGACATTATGAAATGAACCCTCATTATAACATTGAGGGTCAGTTATATCAGCATACTGATAATGGGCTTGGATTGTGAAGTTTTTACAATAAATTATTGGTTTATTCTTTACAAGAGACTGAATCAAGAACCTCTGGATAACTCTGAATCACCGGATAGTCAGGAATTTGATTCTGAAGAGGAAACTGGTGAGGATTCTGAAGTAGAAGACTCAGAAATTGGTACATGTGCTGAAGAAGTTGTCTCTTCCTCTACAGATGCAAAACCGTGTGTGTGAAATTCAGTAATACTGACTCATGAGAAATATACTGCCAACGTTCACCTCCACTGTAGTTCTTTGTAGCAGAGCAAATAACTTTATAATGAAAACTTGGACTCAGACTTCCTTGTTTGTATCCTGGGGCCCTATTATTGTACTAAAATACAAATACTATGTATTTTTAATCTACGGTGTTGTTTTGTGTAAATAGCATTTTCTCAGTTGTCAGACATGACTTGTGTATATGATAAATAAACTTCAGTCGGTTGAGCTTTGTGTATATCTTGAAGAATGAAGTATAAGGAGTCTGGGTAGAAAATTTGTCTATTTCTGTGCTTTTGTTTTGTTTCCTTTCTAATCTGCTAACTAGCTTGGAGGAAACAAGGGGAAAATGAATTCTCCCTTTTTAGACTGAGATAGCTGAGGTTTTACCTCGTAAACCTGGTTGCACCTCAAGCTCACTGGAGGGAATGTTGATTTCTAGACCCCATGCCCAGGTAATCTAACCCAGTAGGAGTGTGAGCATCTGGAGTCAAAGGCTCCCCAAGTGAATCTGAGTAGCCAAGTAAAGGCTGGTATGATCATACTCTTCTTGGAAGCTTAAAATGTTGGGGTGGTGTTGGTAGTCCTCGAGAGAAGCAAAGTGGGGAGCAGATGAAGAGATGCATGAATAGCTAAGGGTTCCGAAACTTTCTATCTGCACATTTCACATACTGGTATAGACAAAGTATGTATATTGAAGGAATATGAAGTAAGAGTAGGGTGAAATTAAGGATTTCTCATATGTACTGTTCTGAAGGAAGAAAAGGACAAAATAAAGGGAAATTGTTTGCAAAGTATACAGCATTGGGATTAAGATCTGTGGAAAGCATACAAGAAGTTTTGTATAAATTGGCAATAAAGAGCAATGTCAAGCTTTCAAGGATTACTTTAGGCAAGTTATTCTTATAGAACTTTAATTTTCTTATCTCTGATATTAAGTCCACCTCTGTTTTTGTGAGAATTAAAACCTTTACTAGAGTGTCTGATCTAAATGCTTAAATAAACATTATTAATCTATAGCAACGCTGTCCAATAGTTTTCTGGGATGCTGGAACTGAGTTGTCCAGTATAATAACCAGGTAGCCATATATGGCTTTTGAGCACAAAATGTGGCTAGTATGAATGAGGAACTAACATTTTAATTTAAAAAATTTTAATTTATATTTAAAGAGCCATGTGAGGTCAGTGGTTACTGTAATAGTACAGCTGTTTATGTTTTAGATTTGGGCCATTAGCCCAAAGAAAGAGGAGAGCTAAGTAGAATAGAATGACTTGGCAAATAAAAAGTATTTCTGGAAAATGTCAAAAATGCATTGCCAGCATTTGGTGGCAGGGAGCAAAAGAGGAAGGAATTGAAGAGGGTTTTAAAATTTAATGTCAGAGCCAAAATGATTAATCTTCTAGAAGAAAATATTGGAGAAGATTTTAGTGATCTTGGATTTGGTAAAGGTTTCTCAAAAAGCACACAAAAATCACGAATTATACCATAAATCAGACTGCATAAATAAAAATCAAAAACTTCTTTTTGAAAGACTTTTAAGAGAATGGAAAGACAAGCCACAGACTGGGAGAAAATACTTGCAAAATATACCCAACAAAGGATTTCTATCTATAAAGAACTTACTACTCATTAAGTAGACAACCTTATTTTTTAAATAGAGGAAATATTTGGACACTTGCAAAGCATATGTACAGATAGCAAATAAGTACGTGAAAAGATGGCAACACAGTCCTTAGGGAAGTGCAAATTAAACCTACAGTGAGATACTGTTATGTGCCCATCAGAATGGCTGAAGTTTGAAAAACAAAACTTGACCATACCGAGTGTTAAGGACATGAAGCAACTGGGACTCTCCGGCAGTGCTGGTGGCAATGTTAAGTGCCACAGATGCTATCGAACTGTTCGGTAATTTCTTAAAAGTTAAACATACACATTCTGTATGATCCGGCCGTTCTAGGTATTTACCTAAGAGAAATGAAAGCGTATGTCCACATGAAGATTAGCAAATAAAGCCCTTGTGCTCAAATTCTTATTGTGGATTTGCTTCTAAGAAAATCCAAATGTTGGAGAGAGATGAGCTTACAAGGGACAGCAAAGGAAAATAGCAACCATTTGTTAAAATTTTGGAGAGCGATTTTAAAATCATAGCTTAGCATAAAAATGCCTCAAGGCCCAAATCTGAACCTCTGTTTCTCATCAGAGGCCTGGCAATATTTGACTCTTCAAACTACGTTCATGAATTACTCTGAGGAGAAATTCAAATTCAATTTAAAAAGCACTTGAAAAAAGAAATTTGTGGTCGTGACCCAGTTTCTAAAGGGGACTTATGATTTCCGACCCTTATTCTCCCACTATAAACTGAATTCCAGTTTCAGAAACTCTGAGTTAACACAATTCACAAAATCCACAAAGGATGAAAAGATAACAGTTGCTCAGTAGAACACAGCTTTTCCTGGTTTAAGTTTTGAGAAAATTGGCTCCCGAGAGCCTCGTGAATCCACGTGATGTGATTAACATCCCTCACAACATTCCTGTAATAGATACAAGCAAGGATCACGGACCTACACTACTTTTTTTTACAGGCCCCTCAGTGAAAGGTAGAAGCGTAACGCTAAAGTAAGCTTAGTCAAGGCAAGTCTGTGAAATAGGAAAAGTACGCAGTTCAATCTATGATGGCTCCGACTTAAGCTAGAGGCAAATGTTAATGTAGTTAGAGACACAAACAGGTACACATCCTGTAAGCGCTTCTCCGTAAACATTTTTTGTAACAAAGCTTTTGATGAGGCTGGGCAGTACAAAAGTCAGGTGCAAGCTTTCTTTTACATATTCTCTTAACAGGCAAAATAGGGAGAGTAAAAATCCAGGAGCCTAGCTTTAGGCTGTCTTTAGGTGTCTGAACACATGGTACTCATCTCTATCCAGAGTTGTGCCAGTGGAGGTAAGCACTGCTCCTATTCAGTGTAAATTCCCCCAAACTGGTCAGCCTGATGTGCAGAAAGATCATGGTCTGGTAGCCAGAACGCAACCTCAGCCAAAGATGTGGCAACCGGAAGGCCGTCACTGAAATAGGGCTGAAAGGATACATATGGGTGGGACGACAGTGTCCACTGTAGGGTGTGGCTGTGAGTTGGGTTTGGATTTGGCATTTCTGGGTGCCTTAGCTTAATGTCATCTAATAGCCCCCCAAACACACCATTGCTCCTAACAGTTATATAGGGAATGCATCTTCCAGTGAATTCTCATTTTATGAACTTAATTTTTATGAGGTTATTTAACAGTGGCGCTTTTCATAAGTTTGGTTATTGCAGTAACTATGAAAATGTATATAGAATTTTTCAACTATCTAAAAGAAAACGCTGAAGAATGATGTGATCGGATATTGTTATTTATTTCAGTTTTCCAGGGTGATACAACGGTGCAGACAGCTGCATCAGGTAACTGGATTTAGAGAAATTAATTCCTGTGAAAACCAATGAGGAAATACAGCTCCTCTGCAAAATTCTCGGGCCATCCAGACCAATTCTCACTGGCCAACATTTGCAAGTGATATTTTAGAGAACTGTAGTCTCTAAGCTCCTGCATACAAGACAGGTTATTGCATGTCATGACAGAGAGAACATAGCAACTCCAAAATTTAAGCAGGAGGTTGCTGTTTATGTCACTTTTCATGGTAGGCTCAAGTCTGTTATCAAAAAGATCAACGAGAATAGGAATAAACTGCAAATGTTTGGCTCTTCTCTGGCTGACAGGGTTTAAGTAACACCAAGATGCAACACTCTGGAGCAGCTGGATCTTTATTTTTGGTTCCATCTTGTAATTTTGCAACAAGTGAGCTACTTCTTTCATGTACTCAGCTGCAAAATTTCCAGCAGTTGGTCCTCCTGTAAAACAAGCATTTGCATTTCCAGAAGTATTTGGTGTATCTAGTAGCTAGTGACATTTGAGTGCTCCTGTGTTCATATTCTCGTCGCTATGGATGTGATACTTCGGATATTTTGAGTTCTCCTCTTTCTCCCCCACCCCGTGTGCTGCTGTAAACATGAGAAAGTGTATGTTGATCAGCGTGGAGTTATATGAAGAGCACTGCCTGCCCAAAGCTCCTCCCTGTTTCCTTCAATCAGGCGCCTATGAGTCAGTATTGCAAGATGAATAAAGCCCGGCTGTGTTCACCTAGCAAATCTCCCTCATGGTCTCATTCCCGAGTCTCTGTCTTCAGTACTTGAAAAAGTACCAGAGCATTAGAGCAAACAAAGGAAAAACCAAAAGGCCGAGCGGCAAAGCCAGGGTCTAAATGGTAAGAGAGAGGTTTTTCATGAGTTGTCCATCACTGTCCTGTTCTCCTTACACATTTCTCAGCCCAAATCTTCTGCAGATCTGGGACCAACCTGGTGCTTGACTCTACTTCCATCATATACCTGAACCCCAGATCATCCTAGTTCAAATCTCAAACTCCGAGCAGGTCCTAGATAAGAAGGCACTGATGAAGACAAGTTAGATGGTGAGGAGAAGCTGGCACAGTTGGCTGGATTCTAGCCACTGGAATTTTGACCTGGTTTGGATTCCTCTTATCTGCACTACCACAGTCCCATGGTCCCAAGGATATTCTGTGCAGTGTAAAGCTTTAGCCAAAGCCTGGGCATAAGCCCTTTCCATTGTTTCCCACCAGTACAACCAAGGCTAAGTAACATCAAGTTAAAGGATTCTGAGCCCTTTATAATTGGCTAACTCTTACCCCAAATGGTGACCACAGCTCTACAGGGAACTGAGCCTGCCTCAAGTGGAGGATGCCATTTACACCGCCCTCACCTGGGTGTTCTCCTGAGTTTCCGTCTTCTCTCTGGTCCTCTGCTAGTGGCTCTCAATCATTCTGGTACCTAGGACCCCTTGGTCCTTGAAAACAGTAAATGCTTTCTCTCATGGACACCATTCTGTGAAAGTAGTCTATTAAACTACATTGAAGTAATTCATTTTCCCATTTAAAAAATAATCGATCTACCAAGGACACTAACAGCTACCAACAAGAGCTTCTAATAAGGCGATGTGTTGTTGAGGATTGTCTATAAAATTTTTTTACATGAAATTTATTAGAAAAAAAAGTGAAGCAAGTTTGGACTTGACAATCAGAGCAGTGTGTCTTTAAATGGTTTACCACTTAATTCTCTAGCCAAGTATACATTAATAGTTGCTTTTCACTAATGCACCTATTGGCTTTCCTAGTAGGTATTTTAAAAGCCTTAAGTTCTTCATGATTTTTCTGAACTACTGTCTGTGTAATGCATTTTTACAAGATAAAAAATAAAATACTGAGTAGTTTTGTCCTGTAAAAGGGTTGAAATTATATCAATTCAGTATAGATTCAATTTTTTCATGATACTGAAAAGTTTGACAGGCAATTTCAGTGTGTGTATATATATATATATATATATATATATATATATATATATACTTTTTAAATTAAAAACAGGAAAGTACCTTATTAGTAATTTATTTGATGGACACATTCTTTTGAAAACATGAGATCCTTGAGGAGAAAGTAGTAATACCTTTGGCGATGCAAAGACAAAAAACTAATAATTTAGGCAAAGGAAATGTTATTGGAACGTTAAGACGAGTGCTATGGGAATCACTCACTGACAGTGTTACAACAGGCAAAAAGACTGTGGAACACCTCTGTCAGCACAGCTGGTTAAATCAGTACCTGTAAAGGCCAACAGTCCAATTCTATAGGCAGCCTGAGCTCTCTGTTCAAGGGCTAGAGATTTATCCTTCAACATACGGCCAAGCACCGCAATTTTTTCTTTGTGAAAAATACTCTCAGCTGGAGGGATGTGTTCTTCCTCCTTTTTAGTGAAAAAGCCCTTAACGACACTCCAGCATTTCTTGAGGCGGTGATACAGCCCCACAAAATATCGATAAACCTGAATCCAAAATTGTGCATAGTAAGCCCGGGTCTTTGCCATTGTGTAAAAAGGCCAAGGGTGCTTAAGTCACACCACCGGCAGTAACAGAAGTGAACAGTCAAGAACTCTGGAATGCATCGCTTAGCAACACCATAGAATGGAATACACAAATCCGGGGGAAGCCATGTATGCCTAGAGTCTTTCTTCAGCCTAGCATTGAAGGCCTTCTACAGTTGGAACTAAACCAAGCTTACTTTCACTTCTCTGGTGCACAGAATCTCAGCTTAAACTAAACTGGCTTCCCCCAACACACACTCAGCTCGTTCCCGTCTCTGTGCCTTTGCTTAGGTGACGCCTACTGGGAACTTGCCCATTCTGCTTTGACTGTTCCAACCTGTACTGAACTTTCCATTGATCTTTCATAGTATTATGCCCATTTTGCTGAGAAAATAGAAGCAATCAAAAAAGACCTTCCACAGCTCTCCCCATCACATCTACCCACCGATCTGCGTCTGTGCCCATATCCTCTGGCTTTCCTCCTGTTATACCGATGCCCCCTCCATTTATGCAGGTTTCAGCCAATCCTTCTCACTCCATTCAGGGAGACTGCTCACTATTCTTCTCTTGCCTTATTAATTTTTCAATCTCAACTGGGTTCTTTGCATCAACAAACATGCTGTACTTTTTCTCATTAAAAAAATAAAACAACTCTTTTGACTTCATACAGCCCCTCCTCCCGGTTATTGCACATTCACAAAATGTGCAATATTCTGCTCCCCTTTATACAAAAACTCTTCAAAGAGTTGCCATACTTGCTATTTGAAACATTCTTTTTTTTTTAATATTTATTTTTGGCTGCATCGGGTCTTAGTTGTGGCATGCAGGATCTTTCATTGCTAGTGTGGGCTCTTCGTTGTGACACGTGGGCTCCTCTCTAGTTGCGGCGTGAGGGCTCTCTAATTGTGGCGTGCAGGCTCCAGAGAGTGCAGGCTTAGTAGGTGCAGCGCACGGGCTTAGTAGCCCCATGGCATGTGGGATCCTAGTTCCCCGACCAGGGATCGAACCCGCATCCCCTACATTGGAAGGTGGATTCTCAACCACTGGGCCACCAGGGAAGTCCCTGAAATATTCTTTTATCCTCTCTTGGATGTACTCCAAGTTGGATTTTAACCCCACCATGACTCTACTGAAATTGCTCGTCAGGGTCACTGATGACCTTCATTCTGCTGAATCCAATTCTCAGTCCTCAGCATTTGTCACTCGTTTCTCCTTGAAACACTTTTTTCACTTGGCTTCTAAGATGTCACAGTCTTTTAATTCCCTACTGGTCACTCTTCTTTTCCTTTGCTGCTTCCCCCTCTTCTTTATGACCTCTAAATACTGGAGTGCCCCAAGGCTCTGTTCCTGTATCTCTTGTTTTCTATCTATACTTCCTGGAGGAAACAAACCAGTCTCATGGCTTTAAATACCATTCACATGCTGAAGACTCCCAATTTTATATTTTTAACTGGTCTCACCTCAACTCCAAACACAATTACCTTCAATCACCAACTTGGTATCTCCATTTGGATGTCTAAGAGGCTTCCCCAACTTAACATGCCTGAAGCAAAATTCCTGGTCTTCTTTATTATTTTATAGTTTAATTTAAAATTTTAATTTAATTAATTAATTTATTTATTTTTGGCTGCGTTGGGTCTTCATTGCTGTGCGCGGGCTTTCCCTAGTTGAGGTGAGCGGGGGCTACTCTTCATTGCGGCGCACGGGTTTCTCACTGCAGTGTCTTGTCTTTGTTGCGGAGCACAGGCTCTAGGCATACGGGCCTCAGCAGCTATGGCATGTAGGCTCAGCAGTTGTGGCCCGCGGGCTCTACAGTGCAGGTTCAGCAGCTGTGGCATACAGACCCAGCTGCTCCGTGGCATGCAGGATCCTCCTGGACCAGGCCTGAACCCACGTCCCCTGCACTGGCAGGTGGATTCCCAACCACTGCACCACCAGGGAAGCCCCCTGGTCTTCTTTAAATCTCCTGCTTCTCAGTTTCCCTATCTTGGAAGATGGCATTCCTTCCTTCCAGTTGTTCAGATTGAAATTTTTGGATTCATCGTTGGCTTTTGTCTGTTTCACATCTCATTTCCAATTTATCAACGAATCCTTTTGGCTCTACTTTCAAAGTAGTTATTTGGACACCCTGTCCAAATTTGGGACATTCTACAAAATGTACTTGCTTGTACACTTCAAATATAGTAAGATGTGGAAGTTTAAAACAAAGAGGGGCCCATTACTGTTCTAGAGTAAAAGAACCTGAAGAGGAGAGTTACCATATGACCCAGCAACCCCACTCCTGGGCATATATCTGGAGAAAACTCTAATTTGAAAATATACATGCACCCCAATATTTATAGCAGCACTATTTATAATAGCCAAGACATGAAGGCAACCTAAATGTCCATCTACAGATGAATGGATAAAGAAGATGTGGTGCATATATACAATGGAATATTACTCGGACATGAAAAAGAATGAAATAATGCTATTTGCTGCAACATGGATGGACAAAAAGATTATCATACTAAGTAAAGTAAGCCAGACAGAGGAAGAAAAATCTCATATGATAGCACTTATATGTGGTATCTATTCTTTTTACATCTTTATTGGAGTATAATTGCTTTACAATGGTGTGTTAGTTTCTGCTTTATAACAAAGTGAATCAGTTATACATATACATATGTCCCCATATCTCTTCTCTCTTGGGTCTCCCTTCCTCCCACTCTCCCTATCTCACCCCTCTAGGTGGTCACAAAGCACCGAGCTGATCTCCCTGTGCTATGCGGCTGCTTCCCACTAGCTATCTACCTTACGTTTGGTAGTGTATATATGTCCATGCCACTCTCTCGCTTTGTCACAGCTTACCCTTCCCTAAAATATGATACAAAGAACTTATTTACAAAACAGAAGCAGGCTCACAGACATGGAAAACAAACTTATGGTTATCAAAAGGGAAAGTGGGGGGAGGGATAAATTAGGAGTTTGGGATTAGCAGATAAAAACTATTATAAATCAGATAGATAAACAACACGGTTCTACTATATAGCACAGGGAACTATACTCAATATCTTGTAATAAACCATAATGGAAAGGAATTTTTAAAAGAATATATATATGTATATATATATGAATCACTTTGCTGCGATTCAGAAACACAACATTGTAAATCAATAAAAAAAATGTAATAAAGAAAAGAACCTGAAGAGGCATGACAACTAAATTAAACATGTAACGCATGGCTGGATCCTGGATCTATGTGTGTGCATACATGTGTGTGAGCATGTGTATGTGTGTGTATGGTATAAAGGATATTACTGGGACAACTGGGGAAACATAGACCTGCATTATCCAATATGGTACCCACTAGCTACACGTGGCTGTGGAGCACCTGAAATGTGACTAGTCTGAATTGAGATGTGCTGTAAGTGTAAAATATATACTGTATTTCACAGACTTCGTATGAGAAAAAGAATGTAAAATATCTTATTAATAATTTTTATATTGATTACAAGTTGAAAGATTTTGGATATATTAGGTTAAATAGAACATATTATTAGAATTAGCTTTCCCTGTTCTTGTTACTTCTTTTCTAGTGGCTACTAGAAAATCTAAAACATCAAGCATGGTCCCTTTCTAAGGTCTTTGTGGTTATTGTTGCTTCTGCCTGGAATGTTCTTCCCAGGGATATCCACATATCCACATGACTGACTCATCCCATCAGTTCCTCAGGCCATCCTCAAATGTAGTTTTCTATTCGGCCTTCCCTGAACACTCTCTTTGAAACTTGTGATCTTTGCCCTATCACATCTCCCACGCCAACACTGGGCAACTACATGACTTTTCTCTGTCTTTTTTTTTGGCCATGCTGCACAGCTTGTGAGATCTTAGTTCCCAGGTCCCCGGCAGTGGAAGTGCGGAGTCCTAACCACTGGACCACCAGGGAATTCCTTCCTTTTCTCTGTCTTATTGTCTCCTCTTTCCAGGATAGGAGCCCCGCAAAGGTAGGGATTTTTATGTCCTCTCATTTTTTTTTTTTTCTTCACTGCTATAGCTCCATTGCCAAGAACAGTCCCTGGCATATGCATACCTCATTTATAGTTAAGTATGCAACAAATACTTGTTGAATAAATGAGAAGTTAGAGAACTAGTTTTTAGCAAACAACTGTTGTTCCCTGCAAAAAGTGTACTTAGAACTTTCTCAAAATCCATCATATTTGTTTTATAAGAGATAATGTCCCCAGGAAAATTTCAGGGATAAAAATATTTATTTTTCTATTTGACTAATTTGTTTTCCTGATATAGTGAGAAGTGCTGGTGTTTTCTGCTGACTTTGGTTTCCAATTTTACTTTACAATTTTATAAAGTAAGTAAGGTAATTCAGCTAAGCAGTACAGCAACAAACCATATAGGGGAAATTGTTTTTACTGCTGACTCAGTAACTAAGCAATCACTGGTATTTAATGAATCGCTTGGTAAATACTCTCAGAGCTGAGTGTCAGGGGCTTCTCTGTGATGATGCTGGTGGGGGTTTGGGTTGGGAACATATACAAATAAAGACTCATTTAGCCTCAGGGGGCTTACAGTCTCTGCTCATATATACCACAACTCTGAAACGCAGCTCTGGGACATGGGGTTTGCAGAGTTGCAGTCACGGTGGCATTGCAAGGCATCATCACAAAGTAGAACAGGAAAGCTTAGTTTGGAAACGGCGCAGACTCTATGTATGGCCACCTGCAGTAACTACTGCAAGGAAAGCCACCCGTGATGGAAGCAGTACCTTGGCATTAGCAAGGCGTGCACAGGTCTATCGAGATTTCTACAAGGTACCTCTCCTAAAGAAACTGTTTATGCAGGCTGGCGTTGGGAAGACAAAGTTAAGACCTTTGGGTGATAAAACACATGCACTGAGAGAGGCCAAAACGTGGGAGCAGAAAGACCCTGAGCTCACCTCCTCTCACAACCACACCAAAATCACAACTGTCTGCAGAACAACCATCAGTACAAAAGACTGGAACCTACCAGAAAAGATCTGCAACTAAAGACCTAAAGAAGGAACCACAACTAAATGGGTAGGAGGGGAGGACTGTGATATAATCAAATTCCATACCCCCTCCCCCTACAGACGGCTGACCCACAAGCTGGAGAATAAATACATTGTAGACGTTCTCCCACAGGAGTGCGAGCTTTGAGCCTCATGTCAGGCTCCCCAGCCCGGGGTTCCAGCACTGGGAAGACGAGGCCCCAGAGCCAGCGGGGCTTTATTGCAGGAGCCCCACAGGACAGGGGAAATAGAGGCTTCACTCTTAAAGGGCGCCCACAAAATCTCACGCGCACTGGGACCAGGGCAAAAGCAGTTAATTGGTAGGAGCCTGGGCCACACCTACCTGCTGGTCTGGGAGAGTCTCCTGGAGAGGCGGGGTGGGGCAGCTGCAGCTCACCCTGGGGACACAGACGCAGACGGCAGAAAGCAGTCAGCGGCACGAACGCTTCCGCCGGCCGACATCTTGGATCATTAAGACCTGGCGGAGGGGGTGGGGGGGGCGGGGATACAGCCCCGCCCATCAGCAGACAGGCTGCCTGAAGACGAAAGAGCCCACAGCTGCCTCTGGACACACCTCTAGACACGGCCCTGCCCACCTGAGGGCCAAGACCCAGCTCCACCCACCAGCGGCCGGCCACGGGCCCCTCCCTCCAGGAAACCGGCCTTAAGTCTCCAGGGCAGCTTCACCCACCAGGGGACAGACACCAGAAGCGAGGAAACCACCATCCCACAGGCCAGACCCTACCCTGGGACCAGCAGGGCCCTGATCCTACCCACTAGCAGGCCAACGCAGCCTCCTGGACACCCTGGACCCCACACCCAACTGTATCAGGAACCGCCATACCCAACTCCCCAACGATCTGAAAGCAGTTCTGGGATCCCTGGGCCCTGCAGCCGGACTCCGGGACCTGGCTCTGCCTGCCAGCAGTCCATCACTAACACTAGCACCTGGCTTCACCTGCCCGTGGGTGGGCAACAGCCCCAGACTCTTCAGGACCCTGACTCCACCCACCAGTGAGCCAGCACTGGCCTCAGGGCCCCCAAGGATTCCACCCCCGGCTACCTCGTGACCAGGCCCCACTACACAGCAGCCAGCAGCATCTGTACAAGGCAGGGCCTGGCAACCCACCAGACTAGGGGCCAACCAAGCCTACCAGACGGCCCACATAGTCAGCCTGCCACAAAAGAAGGACCCACGCAACCCTCTTAGGGGGAAGCCCCAGAGCATACAGCTTGGGTGACAAGAGAGGAGGGCACTGCTGGGGCGCATAGGAGCCTCCTACAGAAGGCCACTTCTCTAAGGCCGAGAAACGTAACTAACCTACCACAGACATAAAAATACCAATAGCAGCTTAGACAAAATGAGGTGGCATAGGAATACGTTCCAGACGAAGGGATGAGATGAAATGCAGCTCTTTTTTCTCCAGTTAGCATTACAACAGATCTGAGAAGTAAATATCATCCTCATGTATGGATAAAGGAATTTCAAGATAAGAATAAACCCAAGTTGAGAATGAGGTGTAGTGTGTTGTGTAAATACCAACTCAAGAGGGGCATGTGAAAGAAATACACCAGGCTCTGAACATGAGACTAGTAATTCAAAAATAATTTTTATTTTAACTTACGTGATTGAAAGAGTGACGAATACAAATGCCACAAAACTAAAAGCACCCCCTTCAACCAAAAATAAAATGCAGAAGTGAATACAAAAGATATGGAAGTACTCATGCAATATTCGAAAAATAAAAAAAAACCCAAACAACAAAGCAAACAACTCTGTAACATTTGTGATTTGACTTTCTATAAAAATCATTTCAACCATTGAACAGAGACTATAGACTATACATACTAACTATAGACTGTACAATGTACCTTTAAAATGAAAGATATATGCATATATATAATATTTATAAATTTACAAATATATATATACATTATAACTTCACAGTTGAAAGAACTTATTTGCCAGGAAGGCTGACAAACAATTTTCACTTTAAAATGAAATGAGTTGTTTTTAAAGGTCTTGCTAAAATGTAAATATTTAAAATGACATCTAAATGATATTTTATATAAGCACATTCAGAGAACAGTTGATATTCCACAGTTCAAATTACACTCACACATATTATTTAGATATCTTGGCATATCCCACCTTGTATACTCTTAAGAGGAAGAAGAGTTATTTAATAAGAGCTACTGAATGGACTTGTACTTTATTTAAAGGACTTGCTATCCTGATGTGGAAGCAATACGGGAGCTGTTGGTTTAACTATTTGGCCAAAGGGTCCTATCCAGTGATGAATGCTTTCTCTGGGGGCAGTAACCATCATTCAGGTCATTCTTCTTCCTAACCTTATGGTAATTTGTATAGAAGAAAAGACCACTGTTAATGACCCTCTGCTTCCGCCCCATTAGGATTCCTCCAACTTCTGTTCTTCTACTTCAAGGAGCATCATAACTTTCTGAATTAATCACAGCTGTCTGAAAACTTCTGGGTTTGATTTGTCTTAGCAGCAAAATACCTCTATTGTAAAAGTATCATTATAAAATGGCTCTTGTTTAAAAAAAAAAAAAGCTTAAGTTTTGAGTATCTTCTTTAAAATGAGTATGGGTATAATCTTAATAAAGTAGTTTTCAGTGATCTACCCATCTTTTTTACCATAATGGAAACATGCCTTTGGAATTTTCACGATAGACGAAAGAAACAAGAGAAATAGTGGAGGCTTGAAAAAATGAAATTAAAAAGAAATAAACTCTTACAATATGATCTTTTACCAGGTTCTGCAGGCAAACTTTTACTTGAAGAAATCTTTTTTTTTTTGCTTTGCACTTAAGGTAAAATTAGTAACTAAGGGGGCCACTCAACCCTGAGAACACAACAGAGGAAACACTGCAAGGCATATGATATTTACCAAAGTATCATGTGACTATTTCAAGCTTATAGAAGAACTTCCAAAAATGTATAAAGACGGCTGTTTTAAAATCCCATACATACTAGATAAGACAGACTCTTTCACTAAGTATTGTCAGACGCAATCAACCATGTAATCTACTGAAAGACACAGAGCCCTATTCTGTTGGCTGAAGGAAAAGCAGGTACGTACTGCGAAAGAGGACTTTGAATTCCTCCCATAACATGTTAAATTTCCAGACAACCTCAACAACTTCGAGCTAAGTCACAGCACCACCTTGATTAACAGGGCCATTTATTAAGACAGCTGTTAGGCAGAGTTAACTTGTAATTAAAAGGCCGTGGCAACTTCACTTGCATGACGACCTCCAACTTTAACACAGTCTCGAGGAAATTTGTCCAACTGTTCATATGCCAGCCGCCCATCTTCTCCTGCATATAGAGCATCAAAAATGAATACCAGTTTGAACTTAACTTTTTTATTCATCACTCAGAATAATAATACCAGTTGTTTAGGTAGGGGTCGCTATATTTTGCTAAGGTTGACTTTAGGTGAGGAAAAGTCATTTTGGCTATTCTTAATTATGTTGTTTTCTAGGTAATGTTTAGAACAACCAAGAGCTTCTGAGCTAATGCCAGAGACTAAAAGAATGTGAAACACAGTAGACGTCCTATGGGCATTTGATGTCAATAACTTCACATAATAGATTTATTCCTGAGAAATTATATGGATTATATTTTAAGTGCATTAGTGATTTCAGTATGGCTAGTCCTTGATTTCAGTGCATTGAACTTTTACATAACTTTCACTTTTATATATTAGATATTGGTACATCCAAATGATCTGTCATAAAATCAAGTCTAGGCTTTCAAACTTCTGCTAAAAATTTATTCTTTGCCCTGTACACATGTTGATGCTGTCTACCAGCCAACAACTAGGCCGGTTCTATCAGTAGTACCATCTTGAACAGCCAACATGTATTTGCAAATTATTTGAATATTTTACTCCATTTTTCCTATTTAAGAAAAAATGGTTAGAAAATGGGAAAATGAAGTACAGATGACTAGTGATAAGAAACAGGCTTTCACACATTTAATACAAATGAGACAAAGATGCAAATAATTAATTGTGCTCAATCAGAAGTTCACTGTGAAGAAAAACAGAAGAAAAGATTCCTTGAAATGCTGGAAATATATTGATATTAGTGGGTTTTAGAAAAGGAGTGTAATCATGGATTTTATAATATATTGCCTCTATATTTGTATAATTTATTGGATATAAAGGCCTTTCAATAAACCAAAAGTCTGTTTTTGATTGTTTTCTTTTTCAGTACATTTAACTTTTTCAGTAATACATTAGATACAAAAGTAGAGATTTGCGTGTATTTAAAAGAACTTTGTAGTGAACTCGTCTATAAGCAAAAGCCATCAATCTTTAGATTCTTTTGTTGATTGTTTCTGCATGCCTTGACTTTTCTGAGGCAAACGTTATTTTTTCCCTGTCAATAGTTTCCAACTTTTTCTTACTTTGGAGTAGAACCCTTTATTTGAAACAAAATATTTATGCAAAACCCTGAATATAAAACATGAACAGCAATGCCTTTCCGGCTGATGATAGTGGGAGGAGAGACAGAGGGCTCTTAAATTAAGCACATTTATACCATACTCCCTGCCCGCTCACACACACCCCTGTGGATGCCTAGGCTAATGAATGCTACTTAAAAACTCAATAATACCAGGCTAGTTCCTAGTTTGCTCACAGGGAGATTCCAATTTAGAGGTCTTCAGTTCTTCCTCCAGTAACCTACAGCATCCAGGTGCCCTAGAGGGTCAGGGTTCCATTGCAGTGCTTGACCGGGTCTGGGTGTCGTGGGTGAGTTATGCAACCCTAGCATGCCTCACTGTGCCCCTCTGTAAATTGGGATTAACTGTCCCTCATAGAGTCTCAGGAGGATTAAATGAGCTAATCCACGTAGATCCCTCAAAACAGTGCCTGGCACGTGTTACCCAATATTCTTTACAGTGACACAACCCGGGCCGGGGTTTCAGGGCATCTCGCTGTTACTAAGATTCAGTTTTCAGGGGCCTGGATCTGTGTTGGCTCCTCTGCTAGTCCGTTTAACAGCCCTGTAAAGTAGGCAGGGTGTTGGAGGAGAAAGAGCTCGAGCTTTGGGGTGTCAGGCAGTGTGGTTCCGGACGAGACTGAGGTCCAGCCGGGACGCGCTGGAACGGCCAGAGGCGCGGTGAAAACTGCTCTGTGCAATCGAGAGGCCACCAGCCTCAGGTGGCTGCTTACATTTAAACGGTAACCACTCAAAATTAAACTAACTCCTCAGTCATAATAGCCATGTTGAACTGCTCAGCTGCCACATGTGAATACTTCCTGCCGTCTGGGACGGTGCATATAGAGCAGCCCCGTCATCACAGAGGGATCTACTGGACAGCTCTGGGTTCAAATACTGAAATAATTCATACTGGTTGGTAAACAGCAGCTGCTCGGAGCCCCTCGAACGCCCTGTGACAGCCCTCAGCTCTAGAGTATCTTTTACCAATTCCCATCAAAAACACTATTTTCACTACATGAATTCAGTCGTCTGTGTGGGATAAAAATACACCAGTATTTGTGTCTTAGGGTCAGAGGAGATTCATAACATTGAGTTCAGAGGTTCTCAACCTGGGAGCCTTTTAATAATCCCAGTGCTAAGGCCCAGCTCAGACCGACAAGAGCAGAGTCATCAGAAGTGGAGCCCAGGTACGGGTGTATTTTAAAGGTTCCCTGGTGATTGCAGTGGGCATCTAGGGTTGAGAATCATGAACCGGTGGTGTGGTGGGCTGTGGGGGCTTTGGGGAGCCACATCTGTAACGAGTTAAGGTGAAGCAGGTGTGATGACCAACCCTGGAGATACGGCTGTCTGTGCAGCTGAACTGGATCTGGGTCATCTACAGGGATGAGCCTCCTCGGGTTACAGTGGGAAGAGCAGCGTTGCTGGCTATTCCTTCCTTCATTGTTATTTCAGAACACTAAAGGATAAAAGAAGTTCAAACTAATAATACCCTGGGCACATTTTTAGGGAATTAAATAATTTCTATGCCTAAAGCAAGCCGTGAGGAATAACTGTTTTATCCTTTAAACACACATATGTTGGCTAAGATTTCTATGCATTGCATGATATATCAATAGCAGAATGAAGCCTTATTAAACCCTAAGAAAGAGCACCAGACAATGAGTGTGATTGCCATGGTGACCATAAGTGCCATGAGAGTCTTCCTTACATTCTTAAGCTGCTACTAGAGTCACACTAGGGCAGCGGCTTTTTCCCGACTAGTATTACTGAGCGGATTCTATTCGAGGACTTTAGTATTTATACTTTGAGTGAAGTGAAGGAGAAGGGTTATTTGGATATTCCAGAAGAAAAAAAAAACTTCATCTCTTTTCTTTGGTGTCGGGGCTCAGGGGCAATAGGCCCGCAGGGCAATCAGAGGTTAACCTGAGAGTCTGGAGGAGGCTGTGGTACATGGGGGATTATGGCATCCTGGGGAACACATCACTGTCCTCCA